ACTTTCAACTTCCAACAACACATAAAAGGCAAGAAATAAAAGTGATGAGTATGCGGTTTAGTTATTGGGGAGACCAGGGACAATTGTTGAATGGGGTCAGATTTTAGACGGGATACAGTAAACCTTCCTGCATAAATTAGAATCCCCCAAACATCACTGATGTTTAGCAAACTAGTACAACTGTACCTTGATAGGAAAAAAATGTTTCTTCCTTTTTCATTCTCCTATATTTTATATAAGAATAAAATTGGAAAAACTAAACAATTGTACCTGTACCTACTTCACAATCAGCGGTAACTGAGCCTGGGAAAATATTATTGTCAGTTTTATTGCACATTATTCATTGTATTCCTGGAAAGACCACAATGCACTGGGTGACTGTTTGAGATAAGAGTGAATCTGCGTAAAATTAGATGTTTAACAGGCTGCCTGATGGAAATATGTCAGCGCTGGCGGTTTCTTCCCAAGATCATTATCTTGTGTCATGGGAGAATCAGCATGAAGAAATTTTTGCGCATTTTGGAAATTGAACATACCTCGTAGCTACTTGCAACACCCAATAAAAAAAAAATCATACGCAACGGCAGTGGAGAGGCCCCTCCACTAAGTACTGGGGAACGAAGGGAAAATGTACAAAAAAGTTTTACGTTTTAAAATGGTGCGGCAAAAAAAGATAATAAAAACCATGGAAAGATGAAATGTGAAAATGATGCCTCATCAGGGAGGTCCTGCCGCCGTGCACCAGCAGGAACGCCGACGTCCATTTCGTTCCTAAACACCTTCTCCCCAATGGGGCCATTAGGAGAGTTTTAAAAATATATATAATAAAAAAAAAATGCCGCTGATCGGAGCCAACAGGAGGGCTAAAGGGGGGAATGGAAAACGCTCCAGCAGTGGAGGGGCATTTAACCTCGGGGGGGGGTTAGCTGCCCGTCGGCTCACCGACCTGCGTTTACCCAACTGAAAAAAAGTGTTCAGTGGGGGCTGAGATGCAGCACTGGCCGATCCAGCTTTCACACTTTACACCAGACATTCATCGCTTTTTCACCAAACCGGCTCAGATCCTCATCTATCAACCCAGCTGGGCGACTGACAGTTTCAATTACATCTGACAGTTTCGAAACATTTCATTTTGTTTCCAGTACACAAATTACTGCCTGTTTTCCTAAGCAGCAAACCGCTCCCACTCCTCACTGAGTCTAATAGGCAGGGCATCCGGACAGGAAGGATCAAGCCAGTGGCCGGTATTAGGCCTCCTGGTGGCTGATTCCATAATCCACACCTATCTGTACAGCCAGCCGCATGTAAATTAAAGCCAATACAAGCCAATACAAAACACAGTTAGGGTGCCAACCTCCCTACCACCACCAAGGCTGCAAAACAATAAAAGCCCACAGCTCATGTTGATATCTAGGGGGAATTTCACTTGATATTTCTGTGTCAAGTGCCTAATTGCGTCAATAAATCACCTCTTTCGGCAGACGGCAAGCTATTCTTGGTGAGAGTAGCTGTGAAAAAAAAACGTAAAAAATATTACTGGTGGGTGAGAAGAGAGTAGAGTTGCCTTCTGTCCCATATATTACTGTCCCATATTGAAAAAATGAAAATTCGTGTATCTTGGTACACCTTTGGGGGCAGTTACACGCCTTATTTTTTCAGAGCCTAGTAGAGAGACAGCATCTCCAATGATTTTCCCATCATGGGGTCTCATTCGTCCACACGTGCCTCATATTTTTGTGTGGTGTTAACAAACATTGCGTGTGGGGATCAGACGAAACTCTCCCATACCAAAACGTTAATAAAAAGTATTGCAATAGCTCATACTCAGAAAGTATTGCTAATTTGAATTTTTTATATAACAGTCTATGTACTTTATTAGATGGACTAAGTAGCTATATAGAGATTATGTTGCATAAACAGCCTCCAATCAGGGTTAATATGTTTGACTTTAAATACCTCCTCCAAACAAAGGTGGCAACTTATATATATATATTTCCTCTTCGTAAAATGCCAAGATCGAATATTTATCATAAGGCATTTTTTTAACCTAAAAATCTTTTTTTATACACATATTTACATCACTTTCACCTATAAATCGCATACATCATTGAATATAGGCTACATGTCTAATAGCCATTGAGATGGGGAGATATACCTACTGAAAATTTACATTTGGTTTAGCAATAGACTGTCTTAGCTGGAAAAATACTCGTTCGTTACTGTCAAAGCACTTCAAATCTACAATTTATGTAGGCTTGTACTATACATTGGGCCAGCCCTAGTAGGTCTGAAGAGGAACTGTAGCTGATGCAATAATATTACCCTATATTCCAATAAAAATATGAGAGGTGCCAGGAAAACTGTGTCTCCCTAAATGTCAGCAAGACCAAAGCATGAGTAATTGACTTCACGTTGCAGACGGCAGCCCACACTGCCATCTGCATCTGTGAGGATGGTATGGAGAAGGTCAGCAGCATCACAAAGCTGGGAGTCACCACCAATGACATCCTCACAAGGACACATCATGCCTCAACCCTCATCAGGAAGGCCCACCACCTCCTTAGGTACCACCAGGATAACTAAACAGTTGTGTACTACCAAACAACAATGTACTGCTGAGTCAATTCTGACTGGCTGCATAACATTTTGCGTGGCAACTGCTTGATGCACACACAGCAGTCTAGGGCACGCACAGCAGTCTAGGGCACACAGCCAGCACACTGCTTTAGACAGGAAGACGACATCATAAAGGACTTCAGTGATAGGTCTCCCTCTTCCCTTCCAGTAGACAGTATAGGACCTTAAGCACTCAGGCCACAAGATTCAGAAACAGTTTTAATCCACAGGCAAGTAAATTACTCAACAAAAGCTAAATTTCACCCTAAATTCTGCTACAATTAATGCCCTGACATTATTCCCTAGATTCTGCTGTTCATTATACATGTAAATGCCCTTTGCTTGTCTAACTCGGTGCCATTTTCTGTTATTTGCTGTTTCTTGTTGGCTCACATACTTATTTTCCCTGCATTTTTTTGGCACTGTGGTCTGCCTGAAGAACGCAGGTAAGAATTCCTGCCCCCGGGTTGCCAGGTCTCACGCATCTCACGCATTCAGACTCTCGCGCTTACGAAAGACATCTTAGAGCAAATCCATAGTATTCCATTATAAACCTAAAATTAGCTAAGCTAGGGTAGTTTGCAAACCCTACAAACTATTCACAATGTAACAAAACTGTCCCATTCATGTAAATTCGTGTGCCCCCTGCATTTAACCCATATGTGACACCTTTTATTTAGCACCCAGGGAGCAGTGCGGGGCGGGGTACCTTCTTGGTCAAAGGTCAGAAATCAAATGCCATTCCGCGTTGTAATAGACTTGTACTAATATTTCAGTTGCGTTACAAGATTAGCGGTGTGATATCACGCGTTAGAGCATATGGGAATATCCACAAAAGTGAACGCTTTCCGGTTATATGACGCCCACCTCCAAATAAATCTCAGTCCAACAGATTCCTCGAAATTGGCTGGCAGCCTTGATATATACATAGAGTACATCCATTAATCTTCCAAACATTTATCCAGTACAGGGTCACAAACGTACCGACTTTCCCACTAATACAGAGTAAAAGGCAGGACTGCACTCAGAACAGGACGTCCGTCCACCAGGGGCGCCGTAAGGGGGAGGAAACCTAGGACGATTCCAAGGGCCCCTGAGTGACAGGGGCCCTAAAAAATTAGGAAAATAAATGGATTGGTTTGGACTGGGGGGCCTAATATGATATGCTTTCATGGGGCCCAAAATCTCTAGCGGCGCCCCTGCCGTCCACCAACGAGCGCACGAAGGTACGCAGAAACACACACGCCAATTATGAGAAATTTACAGAATCCAGTTTAACTAATATTGGATTCCAGTTCGATTATTATTATTGTTAAGAAGTGTGATATGGTAAAGATAAGCTTTCTCTACACCTTCAGCAAGGCAAACTGAGTGCTTATACCCAAAGCTGTATCACAAATGAACACGCTCTTGATGAAAGCAGAGAAACCAAAAGGTTATTATATAATAAACACCTGACCGCCCGATGAGTGACATGCGACAGTGACCTAATGATTGCGACGCTGAAACCGCTACCACAATCTGAATATCTAACATCTATTTAAGTAATGTAGCCTATCTGCAGCATTTGTTTTCTGGACGTCTGTTACGGATGGAGATAAATCAGCACACGTTTTATTTGCGTTTTCTGTGAGCAGTTATGGGTCTGGTCGCATTCCAGTGCAGCTTGGAGGTAAAAATTAATGCAATCTCCAGCAAAACCTGAGCTTAATCAATTCAGTGAATCACACGGCTTCACTTTCACTCCGATTTTCACGAATGCATGCACTTATAAATAAATAGAATATATCGTTGTTTTTGGACTTTTAACCGTAGCTTAACTTTATTTGTAATACAACTAGGTCACGATTTTATCTATAGGTTGGCAAAAAAAAAGCCTCCTGTATATTAAACAGCACACACAATATAAATTACGTTGAGACAATCTGTCGACAAAGACTGATGACCAGCTATAACTGGTGAGAGGGTGTTGTGCACTGCCAATTTTCACTGAAATTCCGTCATTTTCCTATCGATGAATGGCGGAGTAGTGAAGCGTATTTCCGCGTTTGTGACGTTATCTTGTGAGTTGTTAGATAATGGTGGCGTAATTTAATTAATTGTTAGGCCTACATCTATAATAAGAAAACAAGACCCAAAGGAACACCCACCCCACCCCCAAAAAAAAAAAATTAAATAAAAAATCTTCAAGTATTTTTGTAATGGGATTTCCCAGTACAGCACACGCTTACATGTCAGTTGTACAAAAGATCCAATTATCCACCGCCATGACACGTACGTTAGCATGTGCGCCTCCATGCACTGAACTCACGGATCGAGAACCTTCGCTAACAATAAACGACAAGTCTCCCAACAAGTAGACAGATGGAAACAGTAGGACATGGTCAACAAATACAAGCGACGCTTTAACAGTCATGCGTTACAGGCAACAATCAATGGACAGGAAATGATATTCAGAAAATATGCTACTTATGCTTTTTATTTTACGGTTGCGCTTCCCGTTGATTCGGGATTTACATTAAGTATCGAAATTTCATTACAACATATACAAGCTTTAATGTAATGCTAAGAAGATTTATGATTTTTGACTAATCTATATTACAAAACCCCAACTTCTTTGTTAAAGAAATTATGGGTTTTGTTGTCAAAGCCTGACATCTTGCGGTAAAGTGTAATATTGCATTCGGAAAATACTGTAGTTTACTCTCAGCGTCACGAGTCCTGCGTAACTAAACGGCTAATGAGCTCTGAACAATTGACCGCTGTCAAGGGTATTTCCTCGGGAAAAGAATAACCTGAAATACAGCAGCTCCATTATGTTATGGTTAGGCTGTTAAATCAGTAAAGCGGAGTTTCTTAGTTTTAGCACTTTTAAAGTATTTTCTAGTTATCTGAAAGTGCCTTGATCAACAAACTGGATTTGCCTCGTTGGTCAGGCTTTGAGCAGAATATTTCCAAGAGACATGATATTAACCATAATCGGTCTCCCTGGCTTCGCCCAAAGATTTGCCAGCATAAAATGATTAAAGCAGAAATACATTCTGTTTGCTTAAATGATTTCACACACGTTTGGATTAAGTCATCTGAAAAGAAACATATATAAAAATATACAAAATTTTACCATTAGCCATCATTTTGATGGCCATAATTCATAAGCACATGTATCTTGCAATGTTACATCTGAACAAAAATGGTTTATATAATTAAATAGTCATTTGAATTCATCTAAATTTTAGAAAATTCAAAAATTGCACTGAACTAGCCTTATCATAGGATTACAGTGGGAAAAAAAGATGCACTGTACTGACAAAATTTAAGGTGCTTTTCATCTTTAGTCATCATCCTGAAATCCTGACCTAGGCAGACTACAGCTGTATATAATTTATTGGTTAGAACACTTCCCAATGGAAGTGCATTTTAATTACTTATTGGAGTATTTTATTTATTAAATTACATGTTTTGCTTTCTACGCAAAGTGCTGAATATTCACCCAAGTGTCACCCGTGCCATGGAAACAGGGGCCAACTTGCTGTATGTCACACAGCACACCATAATCCACAGAAAGAACCCCCAACTACGAAGAGCGGGTTTCCAAAGAAGTGCTAACAGTGAGCTTTGGTCTCAAGCAGCGATGGTGCGGCTCGCGGCACATCAGCCGTCCCTCTACAACGCTGCCCTAGGACACCACACGCGTCTGGGGAAGATCTGCTGGTCAGATGATACACCGCCGTATGGATCTCAGATGGAAGGTGCATCTCCAGCTTCCTCTCCTGCGATGAGAGCTTCTGCTTCACCGGCTTCATCCGGGCCCAGGAATGCCACCACACTGTCCGGGAGAGAAACCCAACACTGGGATATATATTTTTTGGACTGGGACCAGCAACTGGACACAAAGGCATACTGCATCTCTGAAATGGGGTCAGCTGGAGCCCCAGTTTGCTGTGCTCACCGTCACCCTTAACATATACGGCCTAATTACTGGACTAATTAGCTCACCTCTGTTTTTATGGCCAAGTGGTGTTTTGGGGCGGTAAGAAAATATTCCACCGACTCTGGAATCTCATAAGCTAGTACTAGTACCTCACAATATGGCCTTTTTCAGCTTATGGCACAGTGACTCAGGAAACAGGAACTATACGGTTCAGAAGCCGTTGTACACAGGACATGTAGTCACACACTGCTGACCCCAAAAAACAGGTCTGAAGGGGAAATGTGGCGTAAGAATCAGGTTCATGTTTCAGCTCCCACCACTTGGCAGGGTTACTCTGTTTTAATGGCACTACAGTGTTCAGCGTCCCAAATCCTCAGCAGGTGGACGCATTCTTAAGTGCCTGTTCATCCCTCCGAAGGCGACTTAAAGAAACACCTTTTCTATCTATCAGCTAAATCACTCCATGTCACATAAATGCAGCATAGCGGCTAGGGAAGTTAAAACAGAAATAACTGCGAGTCCCCAAATATGTCAGCATATGCATTAATCAAAGAGCTACACGCTACGTGTGTCGCTTTCTGTAAAATAAGCACGATGACAGCAGCTCACCCCAGCAAGGCTACGGGCAGCAGGCACAAGCCACCCGCCAGCAGAAAGCTAAATCCAGGGAACCAGGCCACGGTGGCTGCATACAGGCTGTTGAAGACGGCAAAGGCTACATTGGAGCTCAGGTTCTCCAGGCAGGCCACGCAGGCGAAGAGAGCTCCTGTGTCAGGGGAGCGGAGAGCCCAGTCACCTCCATTCAGTCACCCCCCCCAGCCCACTCCACCTCTGAAGCTGCCACACAGACCACTTACCTTGCTCTGACTTCGAGACAATCTTTGACATCATGGAACGTAAAACGGGGGCCGGCATGATGGCCAGCAGCATAGGCACCCTGACTGGAAAACAAACATTTCATATGGGACTTTTCCCTTGTTAGAAATAATGACAGGAGCCTCATTAGGAAAATTAATTACTAGCTATTACACACACACACACTCTGACCAAGAAGAATGTGTCACTACTAAATTTCCTCATAACAACACAAAAAGAACATCACAGACTGGCTAGAGCTGAAAAAAAAACTATTTTAAATTACCAGATTTTCAGTGACGATTATAAAAAGGCTGATATGTTCTCCTTTATCAGAAAACATAATGAAAATGCAACAACGAATGCATGTTACTTTATAAGACGATGGTGTTGACAGAAAGTGTGCATTTACACACAATGGAGCAATAGTATTTATGTTTTAATTGCACATTCAGGCACCATAAAACCATAAAGGTTCCCAGAGCTAAACATCTGATGTGAGAATATCATTTAATTAGTGCAAACATACAGTCACAAAGCTGGAAAGGTTAAGCACTAGCATGCAGGTGATGGATACAGTTTCCTAAGTTAAGGAACAATAATGTTACTACAAGGAACCAGCCTTATCGGGAATTCAAACCTGAACGTTTATGACCACCCAAGTCTAGAGCTCTAACCATTTTACTGCTCACAGTCTACAGGCAGATAGAAGAATGAAAAAAGACTTCCTACCAAGGAACATCGCCAGGGTGGTTCTGGCGAACGCAGTCATGATCAGCCCAGACATGATGGATAGGAGGCCAACAAAGACAATGGCCACGTTGGGCAGGCAGTGGGAGAGGATGAACACACCAATGAAGCTTGTGAGGAACACGAGGGTGGAGAGGGCAGAGCCGTAGCCGATGAGGATCTCGCTCCAGCAGAGAGGCTCGTTCAGCTCATAGAGCGTGACCAGAGCCAGGCCGCCAATGTTGGAGAAGGAGTAGGTGAAGAAAATGAGGAGCAAGAGGATCAGCACCATGTTTCTCCTCCGACTGGCCAGGGCAAAGAGGCGGTAGACACCGGTGACTAGCTTCTTCAAGGGGGGCTGCATCTCCTGCAGGTCAGGTGACTTCCACGTCTCCTCCAGCAGGACTATGACATACAGCAAGTTGGCAGCGTGGCAGAGGAAGGCGGTAAAGAAGGGCCAGTTGAAGCCGGACGCCCTCAGGAAGTAGCCCGTGGAGATGGAAGCCACACCGGAGAGAAGACCAAGCACCATGTCCACACCAGCCATACGTAGCGTCTTCAGCTTGCCGTCGCTACACAGGTCGGCGATGTAGGAGAAGCAGCCACCAAGCATGGTGCCTACACCACCAAACAGGGAGCTGGCAAAGTTGGCTACGATGAGCAGGTAGATGTTAAGCTCAAAGAAGGAGATGGCCAAGAAGGAGGACGTGTAGACGAGGCTGCCCACCAGAGGGAGAGCGATGGAGATTTTGCGACCCCGGTGGTCACTGTATGCCACCAGCAGTAGGGTTACGATGAGGCTGGGAATCATGGAGAACAGCTCATTGTAGAGGGAGAACAGCGAAGCTGCCCTTTGCACTTTCTGTTGAAGCAAAAAACGCGCTGTTAGCAAAAGCAGGCAGTACAGTGCATGCTGGGAAGACCTTCAATAATACAAGACAAAATTTTAAAGAAGTTAAAAAGAAAAGAAGAAAAAATGGAAGTGACATTTGAGAACAACCTAAACATAGAAAGTAGGTGTTCTATGTTTTAGGAAACTGAAACAGTTACTAGCAGAAGTGTGCCTGTTATCATCCAAATCACAAGACTGTAGACATCAGATACAAATATCAGAGGCTACATAGGTCCATGTCATTTTTATGAAATTGCTGACCTCATGACTGGACTGGTTAGTGTTGACCATGCAGCTGGAAGCATTGTCTGTGGTTGGGTATGTCGTATTTGTCAGATCCTGCCACATGCGCCGGTAAACATACTGGGACACTAGCGGGTAGATCAAAAAACAGGCGAAAGAGTACAGAGCCACGACAGGCTCCACAAAGTACAGTCCCTTCATTCTTCGGGCCACAGTTCTGCTTCAAATTCACTGGAACATAAGATTACATGAGCGTTATGTATTGCTGGTGTGATTCATAAGCCTAATAGTTGAAACACCATTATCATATTAATATGCAAACAGGCAGCAAGTTACAAGGATTCTGATACATAGGCAAGTGTATTTCAACTACTGGCAAAGAAATTAATTTACTTGACCGTGAAACAAAGTTGCGAACCTTTCAGTACGCTTTTTAAAGTGAAAACGTCTGGAAATATATAGATTTATTACATATTATTTTTAAGAAAGTATCATTTTAACAAAGAAGTAATGGCAAGAAAACTGAAACTTTTCAATAACTGGAAAAGTAAAGAACAAACGGCATGTCATCAATGTCCATCTCAGTACAAAGATACAACAAAGTACATACTTTACAAATCTCACTTTTTTGTCAGGTGCCCCTTAATGACAATCAAAAACAAGTTTCTGTAAACAGCATATCCAGAAAGCAAACAAAAACGTACAAACGAAAGATTTATTTAATGTTTCTCCTAAAGAGCTCAAACTGCGGATTTGACAAATAACATTAAGCGTCCTGTTTCTTACCTTATGTTGAGTTGCGCAATTTAAAAGGTGACTCTTACATTATGATTAATAGGCTTCATCGATTCCACTCTAGTTTAATTCCCTCTGCAACTGCAGCGCTGAACTTATGACTCGTCCATTTTGCGATGCCATCATCTTGCTTACGATTGGACACATTTGTTGTTAAAAAATAATCAGTCAATCGCTGATTGGTTTAACTTTATGTCAATTACGTGAGACTCGCAGCCGAGCAGTTTGTCTGAGAAAGCCTGCGCAAATGATCCAATGATGTTTAACTTCTTTGCAGCGCTTATGTAGATTGTCAATGCTTAAATAAATTTTGAAGGAATCTGTTTCGAAATACTGAATATACCACGTGACCGTATAAGACAAAGAAAACGAAATTCAGTCAAAATGTGCGTCGATTTATATTAAAAAAAAAGTGCCCGGCACTGAGCTTATTGCCTCACTGTTTGTCTTTTACTGTTTTTTTCTGATAAGATTATTCTCAGTAAACCCGTACAGATAATACCATATCGATCCGGGCAGGCTACCGGGGTGGGGCGGGGTGGGTCCGGCCTTCCGATTTGAGTTGATCAAGGGAGCTGCGTTTCAATTGTTAACATTTTAAACCCAGAAACCTGCACCGGTACAAATTCGTGGCTTTAATCCCAAACGTTAAAGAATCATTTACTTGAGCGAGGAAGGGGATTTTGTTAGGTAGCCTATGTAACTGCAGGTGTTATTCTCACATGTCCAAGAATGAACGGTTCTGAGCAAATGACAAATGCTCCTTCATATGGGCATCGGTAGGTCCGATCATTCGGGCTGTAGTTTGACGCCAATTTTCCTTCAGAAAGAAACAAAGTCAAGCCCCAGGTAAACGTGATCGACTTAGCCCCTGACCTTTTCAATAGCTAGAAACTCCCCTGCGCCTTCATATTTTGTATATTTTGTCTGTGATGACAATCACTTTGCACTTTTACTCAACATCTTTACCATCTCTTTAATAACGCGTTTCTGTCTTCCACTACTGCACACTTTGCACGTAAATTCTTAACCAAGAGATGTTGCACCTCGTGTAAATCCTGTGCGTGGGCATCACTAGATTGTTTCAAGTGTAGATGAGGCACTGTTAATCATAATATGGAAATCATATTTGCAGGGGAAAAAAGTAAATTAGAATATTGATACATTTCTTCAATACGATGTGCATTTAATCATTGCGTCTTCTAACCAGTCATCCAGCATGAATATAATTTTACATATTTATTTATATACGTAAGTCTGACGATATAAATTTGATATAACAGTCCAAAAAGCGCCAGAAAAATGAAAATAGTAAGTCTACCGTAAAATGTTAGGATAATTTGTATTTATGTGGGCAACTCAGTCCCTTTAATTTCCTTATGTACAGTGAATATCGTTATGTTACCTGCTGATGCAGCTGCACAACGTGAATTTCATGAATTAATTCAAAAATTAAATACATGAGGAAAAAGAATGTTCATCCCACAATCAAAGAATTCAAAGCTTCCGGTATAGTGGGCTGCGTTTTCCTCTGGACGCAGGAGACCACTCTGAGCATAGCTGCACGGTTACGCTGATTGCGGACATTACGTGTGATTTACGAACAGATCAATGTGTGAGAGCCGTATTCCGCATGATTACGAAGGATACGTGGACGTTACGCCTGTTCTGCTATGGTTCTGCCGACAGTGTAGTGGGAGGGATACGCGGTCGTTACGTACGTTACGTCACCGGTGCAGTGGGAGGAGGGTCGTGTTGTTACCGCTGAGATCCTGTGCCTGACAAAATCCGGCGGCGAAGAAGCGGTGTGAAGGGGTAGTAAGTGTTCCTGTTTGAAATATAGCCCATGTATTTTTTTTTTTTAAATATATGCTAAAACCAGTATTACGTTTAAAGGTGCCTGGTTTTGGTTTGTCAAACGACGTGGCATTTTGCCGTACTGGCGGGCAGGTGTCATTTTAAAGCGTGACACGAAATGGTAGCTTGCTGGCTATCTACATAACCGCTGGGTAACGGCGTCCCGTAGATAACGCCGAGGAATATCGGCAATATCCCGACTACGATTATACAACACCAGGGAAAAATAAACGGATTCCCGAAAATTGCTGTTAAATCCCAAGGACTTTCAGTGTCCGGCTAGGTACATACAAAATGTCAGTACGGCGGCTAGCTACCTTATCACAGTCGGTTTTAATTCGCACTGCATTTCCGTTTATAAACTAATAATCGGAAATAGTTTGCTAATGCTTATGACGTTCTGGCTTGTGTTTAAATATCTGGCCTTTTTTTTACGGTTGGCACGCCGACAGTAATAATAACAGTCGTGATAGTGATGATGATGAGGAGGAGGATGAAGATTCGCTGAGTACCGGTACATGGTGGTAAATTTGGTGAATCTCTCCAGCTTGGCTGGGTAAACGCGTAGTCCGTATGTCACTGGCGGCTAATCCTGCTGTAGAGCATCAAGCTGAGCCAAGTCAGCAGGGAAGAGGTGTCACAGGGCCTGCTATCTCTTATGCTATGGATGGTTATTGCATGCGGCGAAAGCAGTGATAATACTAGAAATAAACGTTCAGTCATCATTTTAACCGAGCAAAGCGGCCGGATATTTCGGACTCTGCACTACCCGAGATTATGCTGCAGTAGATTGTAGATCATCATCGGCGGCCTGATGGTTATAACAGCGGTTATAACTTGTATTAAAATATACGCTTCCTAGTTCCTGCGGTGAAGGCTGTGTCTTTTGCCGATTTGGCATATTTAGCTGGCTTCTGAAAGACACTCGGGCGTTGCTGATGTGTTGCAAGTCACTCTCTCTACACAAGGTATTGATAGCTTGAGTGTAAGATGAAAGTCCATGCCTGGATTTATGTGGTACCTGTTCAGTCTCCTCTAGTTAAATTAGAAGGGTTTTCATTTGTATGTGAAATGAGAGCTTCCTCTTTGCTTTCTTTCTTTCAGGTGTGATTCATCTGGTCCAGTTTTCCTTGAAGATCAGCAATGGCCTTCAGCAAGGGTTATCGTATTTACCACAAGCTGGACCCTCCCCCGTACAGTGTAATCGTGGAAACCAGGAATCGTGAGGAATGTCTCCTGTTTGAGTCAGGGGCTGTTGCTGTACTGTGTAAGTGCCTTTTTTCACTTGATGTTCATGAAAAATGCAACCCTTCCAAGTTATTGCTGTCTTTAGCAACTACCGAGCAAGTCACATCTGGTGGAAGCCTGTTTCATTCACCACAACTGCCCGTTAGCAATCTTCAGCTGCCTGGCAGATTCGCGTCTTAGTCACCGTACACCCTAGATATCCTCCTACGGAGGTCCTGTGCATCATGAAAAGACTGGTCCAGATCCTTTTTTAGATGTTACCTTAAAGGGAACCTGTGGTTGTTATGTTCAGTCATAGTACCAGGGACAGGTCTAAACGTTGGCCATGACGGCTATCCCAATTAACAATTTCAGCAGGGCTACCGCATACTAAAATGGTTCTTTCCAGATCCTTCTATTTTGAATTCCATTGTTCTTGTAATCACTAGTGGAAGGTGCAGCAGTAAATGTCATTTCCTTTAATCCCCTTCCTGGTTATGATTTTATTATTATTTTTTTTCTCGTCAAATGTGCTTTCTAGCCTCGGCCGAGAAGGAAGCAATTAAGAACACGTACAGTAAGATGCTGGATGCCTACGGGATCCTGGGAGTCCTCCGACTCAATCTCGGTGAGTTGGTGGGACGACCGAGTGTGCAGAAACAGTGGCGTTGTTTTAAATGCTGGCTGTGGGGGGTAAATTTAGTGCTTGATGCACCTGTTTTTTATGCAAGAATTAAAGTAGTAGGGCCGATAATCACTTTAATATTAAATATTAATATTTAATATTTAATTCATTTTATTTTTATAAGGTGCTTTACATGGGTGTGTTGTGATACATTCCTGCATCATTCATATAGAATAATTCAAAAGCAGAGAATAGGAAAGACAAATGAAAGGTAGAAAGCCAGATGACAAGAAGAGATTAACCAAAAACTAAATACTCCCAAGTAAGGAGAAGAAAAATCTCCAAGGTCAATTGACCCCCCAGCTCCCCGCATACTAACATTATACAAGAAGCCCAAAGTGTGAACTGTGGTCAAAAAGTTAAATATTGTATTGAGGGTTTTTGCTTGGCTTTTGACTGGCATGTTAAACATGTTCTGGCTTCTCCCACCCTGTAGGGGACGCTATGCTCCACAGCTTGGTTGTGGTGACTGGCTGCAGCTCCGTGGGGAAAGTCCAGGACTCGGAAGTGTTCCGGGTCACTGCCACCGAATTTGTGTCCCTTCGCAACGACCCCACGGACGAGGACAGGATCTCGGACGTGCGCAAGGTCCTGAATTCTGGGAACTTTTATTTTGCCTGGTCCGCCACCGGAGTGAGCATGGACCTCAGCCTGAACGCCCATCGCAAGGTCAAGGAGGACACTACTGACATCCGTTTTTTCTGGTGGGTCACTGGTTTACAATACATGTCAAATTGCTATTGAAATGTTTGAAACATAGCAACATAAAAATCTGAGTCTCCATGTAATGTGTGGCTGCGCCCATGACAGGAACCAATCCCTGCACCTTCATCTGAAGCACTATGGGGTGAACTGTGACGACTGGCTGCTGCGCCTCATGTGCGGAGGGGTGGAGATCCGCACCATCTACGCGGGCCACAAGCAGGCCAAGGCCTGCGTCATCTCCCGCCTCAGTTCCGAGCGGGCCGGCACACGCTTCAACGTGCGCGGCACCAACGACGACGGCCAAGTGGCCAACTTCGTAGAGACTGAGCAGGTGAACAGCCGTTCTGCACGATGCGTCTTCTCAGCTTGGTATAAATGCTTGACGTGGAAGTCACTGGCTGACCTTATGATTTATTCATAGTGAAGTGTTGAGTGTAAGGGTGTTGGTAGGATCTTAAGACGTCCGCGGTTCAGCCCAGAGGCCTGATCTGTCCGAGGGTTGTCATATTGAATTTTCTATCTCTGAAGATCTGATGATTATAGCAATAGGAAGGTTTTGGGAAACAGCCCCGGACAAAGATTGTCATACTGTATGGAATTCTCAGATATGGGTGCTGAAGCATCTGGGCTCGTTCAGATTAATTTGGGGCTACAGCCCCGAATGCCCCAGGCTTGTGGCACCTCAGGTTGAGTGTTCGGTCCATGGGTGGATTCCTGCAGTTTGTCACTGCCACCTGTCACCTGTTTATGCTGTCTGGATTTCTAATGTTACTGTTCCTAGGTTGCATTTGTCCATGTCAATGGACTGATATGGATAGGTATGTTTTGTATACCTATTGCGCCAGTTTGCTTCTGATTCATTCCATCCCGTGTGTGTGTTGGGAGGGATGGTCTTCTCGGTCCACTGTAGTCATTTACATGTCTGCATTGCAGGTAATTTTCCTGGATGATAAAGTTTCTTCCTTCATTCAAATCCGTGGCTCCATTCCCCTGTTCTGGGAGCAGCCTGGCATTCAGGTGAGACGTCCTCCTTTTAAATGCTGCGGGCTTCATATTCAGAAGGTTCACTGCATCGCCTTGGATTCTGTTTCTTAATTAATTTTGTCCAATTTACATATGATTGAGGTAGAGCTCTTTCATAGTGAAAGCACTTAAGAATGCAGAATTGACTATATGATTTCAGGAAGTGCTTTTTCTTAATCCGCACTTAATCAGAATTACTACAGTCATGAAATAAATGGAGCGAGCCTACATACAGCAAGCCTATGTGTGTACACATAAAATTACAGATTTTTAAATTTGACAAACTGTCCATGAAGCAAGTAAATGTAGAATTGTGCTGCAGAACATCCTGTTCTCTAAAGAATTTAAGGAAGCTTTCTTACTTTATAATGCTTATGTGATTGTGTTACTCATGGGAGGTTCAAGGCTTTTTATTTCAGTGTTGTTCTGCTAATGTCTTTCTAGCCAAAATCGTTTTGCACAGTGTCAGGTGCATAACAGATGTTAGTTTCACTTTTCACGCTTGTGGTGTTTGAGCCCCTCTTTCAATAGAAACATTTGGCCCGCATGAACATAAAACGGCACACAAGGTCATTATCCGGAACTGAGTAGGGCTGCTGCTGGGTTAGCCAGCCTGACATTTAATCGGCCACTTTTCTCTTTTAAACAGATGACCACCACTGGGCACTGTAGTTTTTTCTCATTCTCTCTATTCTCCCCACTTTTTTTTTTTTTTTTAATTTCCATTTCCACAATTTCTGTCAGCTGATATTCAGCACTGAATGTAAATGTTTTTACACGCCCTGTGCTTTAAGAATCTGGCATTCTGTTCTCTGTCGCTGTTTCACAACCTTCCCTTAATGGTTTGCCTGCTGTTTAATTCCGCTTGGTTGGTGTGTGGTGCTGCTGAAACAATCGGTTTCTTTCCGCGTATTGGTACAAGCAGTGATAATTGGCTCAAACCCATTACCAGCAGTGTGACAGCACATATCAGTGTCTCACCTCCCTGGGAGAGTTGGCGATCGCTATGTGAAATACCACAGTCTCGCTGTTTCCAAAACTATCCACTGGGGAAGGTTCTGTGGTGTATCGGACCGTCCTGTTTAAACACTCGCTCAATTTCAAGACCTTGATACCGTGTCATTTACACCACCGGTGCATGGTGTGCGAAACATTTTGGGAAACGGAAGTGGACAGTCTGGAAAGAATGCCAGTTCCACCGCAGCACACGCAAGCCTGTCATCCGAGCCCCTGTCCACGTGGAGGTTCGGATTTGCATGAAATATTCACGCCAGAGAACCCTCAGGGAGAGAAGCGGAAGCTTTCTTAACAATGGAAGATGGGGGCGAGTGCAGGGCCTGCAAGCTCTGATGGAATTTGGTGATGCTGTGGTGCGTGAGGGTGGCCAGCGATGCGTGTGTGTCCTGCTGTGGGGAACTGAAGTCTGGATTAATGACACCCGTCCTCCTTCCAGCCATGGGTCTCTATGGTGACGTGTTCTGTCTCTATGGAGATGCGTTTTGATGGGCTTATTGTGGGCTCTAGTAATCTGTGATCATTATGATAATTTACTGTCAGAACCAGTAACGGCTGCCTGCTGTTATCTCCTCGGTGATCGTTCTGCTGTCTGTGAGGTCATCAGTCGGGCAGCTTGCAGAAGCCTCCGGTTGTCCTATTCAGTTAAACAATGTTTGCATTATTGGGAAATTTTATACATTCCTTTGTCTGAGAGTAGGCTGTTTTGCGGACCAGTACTGTACTGAGGACCAGTAACAGTGGAATGTGTTGCACAGGCTTAAATTCCAATTTTTTTTCTTTATTTCTTCTTTAACCAGGTCATATATAATACAGCATGATGGGAAGACTAATATTCAGGTTCTCTGACTGAACATGTCTAAGTTGTTGGCTTCAGGTTTCATTCCACAGCCAATCCATGCAGTCAGTAAATTTCACCTCCGGCACACCCAAGCCTTGTAAATAGCTGCTCAGTAACCCTTTATTATGTGATTTTTATGGTATTTCAGATGTTTAGCACAGCTGGGGTCTGCAATTTCAGCTTTGAAATGTGCCATTTGGTAGGTATAGGGAGTGGAATAACTCATTTGCGCATTAGGGCCTATTTTTGGAAGGTTGTGGGTTTAAATCCCATGGCTGGTAGGGTTATCCCATCCCGGCGCCCGTGGGCAAAGTCCTTAAGTGCCCCCGGGGATACTGGCTAACCTCAGACTTTCATCACTGCATAAATAAGTAAATGTAATGTAAGTATATGGTATGTTAACTCATAATGTATATATTTGCACCTGGATGAGCCCCTCCGTGTGTCCTCTCTCTCAAGGTCGGGTCACACCGGGTCAAGCTGTCCCGAGGCTTCGAGGCAAACGCTCCAGCTTTCGAGAGGTAATTAAAAAAAATCTGCTGCAGCATTTCCCGAGGAACACTCTCACTCCACTCGCTGGCAAAACGGCGGAGTCATCCAGCGGCCTGGCTCCCGTCCAAGAGAGAGGATTACGGACCTGGGTGGCGCCGTGCCGGCACGGTCACGCCTGCGCTTACGCCGCTCTGCCCGTTTCTATCTGGGCGGCGTGTTTTTCCAGCCGGGTTCTTTTCGGGTCGTCAGTCTTCGGGACTCCGCCGGCCGTAGCCAATCGTCTGATGTGAGTTGTGTAAGCAGCGGCATTTATGAACGACAGCGTTTAAATAAATAAACAGGAAAACGGTTAATTAAATAAAAGGCATTTCCTGATCTCTCATCTACAGACCATTTTAATTACAGTCCCCTACAGTCGGTCGTAACATTGAGTTATGAATTCTTTATGACTCACCAGTTAAGTGATTGCGGGGAAAGGGGTCCGTGGTTTTCTAGACGGCATCCTGTGCAGCACTTCATACAAAGGCCTAGACAGTCCACCTGCTCTGTGCCAGGGCTGTCTGGCATATAAAAACCGGCAAAGCGAGTCACACCTACTCTGTTTGTCCTCAATATTTGTGCCCTAAGGGCTCTTTTTAACAGCTAACCACGATACATTGTTAATAATTTCCCCGAGCAAGGGCGTTTTTAAAGTCAACGGACATCTCCAGGGAGCCAGTCTCTGGGAGAGATGGAGGACATTTATAGTGCATGAGTCATCGCTGAGTCGGCAGGGCTCTGAGACAGCCGTGTGCAGATGGACATCATGGCTGTACAACTCACAATTAATTATTTAAATGTTTTCATTTATTTTTAAAACTCACTCTGTCACAGGATGTACAAAGATACTAGTGCATGTAGAATATTTATCTTGTCCATCCCACAATGCATTGCCCGCCCCTCCCCAGGCACTTCTGCACGCTGCGGAGGCTGTACGGCAGACAGATGATCGTCAACCTGCTGGGGATGAAGGAGGGCGAGCACATGCTAAGCAAGGCCTTCCAGGTGAGCGAGGCGTCCCGGGGTCCGTGGTACCACCAGGACCTGTCACTAAAGGGGCATCATCCACCTTCAGTGTGTTTAGTGAGAAAGTGATCCAGCCTGGATTTAATGTCATGTTGGCAAACACAAGGCCTTTAATTTCCCGTTGAGTGGGATTTCCATCAGGCGTCAGCCGCATTGGTGACTCCATCGGTTCCTGTTTAGGAAATGCAATCAGTGATTGGCTGAATATAATGATCCAGCTTCCTGCGGGTCTCGGAACCTTTTTTTCGTGCTAACATGGGGAATGCAAAGCTTACTGTTAAGGACTCGCTCCCTGACTGTGTCGCTGGTTGGCTGTCTAGAGCAGGGTCCGCCAACCGGTCGATCACGATCAACTGGTCGACCCCTAAGTCATTCCCAGTCGATCATGACGATATCCTCCCCCACCCCCAGTCAGCAAAAACGTACCATCATGACTCGTTAACTCGTCAGATTTTTAATTTTAATTTCATTTTTTAAAGTAGCTCTCACTGTAAAAAGTTTGGATGCCACTGTGCTTTTGTAATTTTCACTTCCCTCTTTTGATTTATGGTACCTCATGCATGCAGTGGGTATGTAAGAGCAGGTACACGCGTGTGCATCCGCAGAGTCACCTGAAAGCGTCGGAGCATGCCGCCACGGTGAAGATGATCAACTTCGACTACCACCAGATGGTGAAGGGGGGCAAAGCAGACAAGCTGTTCAGTGCGCTGAAGCCGCAGCTTAACAAATTCCTGGAGGACTGTGACTTCTTCTACTACGCTGGGGAAGGCGGGGTTCAGAGGTAAAGCTCCTCCCACTCTGCATGAAGCAGACCATTGGCCCTCCCACTGGAGATTAGAATCTCCCCCCATGGATACTTTAGTCCAGTTATTTCTAAGAGTACTATGGGCTAATCTACTTTGACTTTAAAGGTCCCCACCCCCCAAAGAAAGAAGTATAAAGAACAACAGGCTTAATTGAAATTTATTGTCCTTTCAGGTGCCAGACTGGAACCATCCGGTCCAACTGTTTGGACTGTTTGGACAGAACCAACAGTGTCCAGGCCTTCCTTGCACTGGAGGTACGCAGAGTGTCTGAACATGAAGGCTGGCTTCCATTGGTGTGTTACAGATTGCAGGATGGACATCCATTTTATTGTATTATTAATCAGTCCCTCAGCAGTCATATCTGGTATTTGCAGGTGATCAGTCAAATTAAACAGAAAATCAAACAGACAAAAACTATTAGCTAAGATATAGTGAACTGAAATATAAGCACAACACTCATCCACTCATTCAACAACTAAAATGGATTCATTAGCCTCTCTTGGTCACATATATACCAAAAAACAAGGTGGGGTCATAGAAAAGAATTCCCACATTCATGAATTTAGAAGATCAGTGGTCATTTTTGACACACCACTGCACACAGTGCACAACAACGAAATGTGGTATCTGCGTTTGGCACCCGGGGAGCAGTGCTCGGGGGCGGTACCTTGCTCAGGGTACCTCAGTGGTGCCTTGCTGGTCGGGGATTCGAACCAGCAATCTTTCAATTACAAGTGCGCTTCCCTAACCATCAAGCCACCATTGCCCTCAGTAATAAATGGTGACCACCATTTATTTGCCTGTAGCAGCCCTACACATCTCAGAGCTGACCAAGTTGTTGAGTGCCGCCTGTGGAATGCTGTGCCACTTCAGCTCCTGGAATGCACTGATCCAGAGCATTTCGAAACATGCTCATTGGGAGACGTTTACAGAGCATTCAGGCAGAACGACCTGTGATTGTGAAGCCAGATGGACCTTCTACTATGAGCTCTAAACCTGGAGTTGACTTATGGTACAGAAATGGAGGTTCATGACTTTGGCTAAGCTCTAGTGTACTTCCCGCATTGTGTCTCGCGACTTATGGTACAGAAATGGAGGTTCATGACTTTGGCTAAGCTCTAGTGTACTTCCTGCATTGTGTCTCGCGACTTATGGCACAGAAATGGAGGTTCATGACTTTGGCTAAGCTCTAGTGTACTTACTGCATTGTGTCTCGCGTAACTTGAGGCATCTGGAGCTCCCTTTTGTCATTGCCGCAATTAGGAACACCTGTGTTGTTGTCATGCTATGCCATCAACATTTCGATATGTCACTTTTAGAGATGGATTATCGATACATTTAAAAAAAAAAAAAAAACAAAAAAAAATAATTTTACGAAATTTGAAACATGCACTCTTTGTATGACAGTTCACAGAAAGTCCTATTTTTAATTTTTTTTTGTCAAGCCATTACAAAATGGGAACAAAAGCTAAAGTATTGCATTTATGGTATTGTTTGGTATAATTACCTGGTTGCTTAGTACTTCAGGAGAAAAAACATCATTATGCTGCAGAAAAAAAAGTTGCTCGATTGTGGTTTATAAGTATTATGTTACCTTTGCCATTGCTTATGCTTTTAAATGCTAATTGCTGTTTTGCATGTAAGAAGGTAATACCCTGACAACTACAATCCTGCCGTTTTCCTTTTGTGATGTAATTTGATATTCCTGGATTTCTGTAATGGGAACTGGTCTCCCGCTGATTTGTGAGTGGCCATGTTAGCATCGTCGCTCTGCCTTCCCTCTCCTGTCCAGATGCTGCCCAAACAGCTGGAGGTCATGGGTCTGTCAGAGAAACCCCAGCTAGTGGCCAGATTCCAGGAGGTGTTCCGCTCCATGTGGTCCATCAACGGCGATTCCATCAGCAAAATCTATGCTGGCACTGGTGCCCTGGACGGCAAGGCTAAGGTAGGGTGCCCGTGTCCAGGGAGCCGGGGGCTGTGGCAGCCCCAGACAGCGGCCGCTGCCTCATGTCTAACTCCCTTTGCATGTGCTCTGTCTTTCTCCTGCATTCTCTGGATAATGTTCCTGCCCTGGTGAGTCCACGGTGCCGGGTTCGATGAAGCCGGCTTGCACGTCTGTCTTGTTGCTGTACCTTCCGGTGTATCCATTATCTTTTTTTTTTTTTCCTTTTTTGCGATACAGTCCAGAGCTTCTGCTGGCTAACTTTTCCGGTCTTAAATAATGAAAATGATCCAGATTCTAACATGTAGACAATTAAGACCTTCTGTACAAAGGGTTTTTCTCTGAAGGGGTTTTGGGCAGGACTGTAAAAACTGGTGCATATCATTTAGAAATATCTTTCCTTTGTTTTGTTTTTTATTTTTTTGTTTAAGCATAGACTTTATGAATTAATGCACATGTTTTTTGTCTCTGTGTACGTTTGTGGTTTTTTTTGTTTGTTTTTTTGTCGTCTGTGTTTTGTCTGTGTATTTAACTGTAGCTTTATTCATTGCCTCGCTTGTGATGGTAACAAGAGACAGTATCTAAGAGCTGCTAATCGCTCTCCAGGCTGGGAAGCTGAAAGACGGCGCTCGCTCCGTCACCAGGACCATCCAGAACAACTTCTTCGACAGCTCGAAGCAGGAGGCCATCGACATCCTGCGCCTGGGCAGCACCCTGAACAGCGACCTGGCCGACAAGGCCCGGGCCCTGCTCACCACCAGCAGCCTCTACGGTGCGCGGCCAGCACCGCCGCACATGTCTGCACGATCGCTAGCTGCATGCTCTGTTTACTTCTATAAATACATCCGTGAAATCACTCCTCCTGCCAAGACGGTCACAGGTTTGGCTAAATCTCTGCAGGCGTTTAAAACCAGGTTATTTAAAGAAAAAAATATATATTTTTAATATATTAATACACGCTTCAGTTTTTCTGGTACTTGCACCAGTTGATGCAGTATACGTGTGCAGCATTCTTTGTGGATTTGGACTATCAAGGTCATGCCAAGGTTACAGCTGGGAGAGTTTAGGAAAGCAAAAAAAATAAATGTTTGTCTAACTTCCTCCGGATGAATGAGTGTGTGTCATCATTGGTTGACCATGGCCTTCTTTTCACTCTCTTCTCCTTTTCCTTAATGCTTACGATGTTAGTTTCAGAGACCATTTTGCAATCAGGTACAGTAAATTCCGTACGGCAGAGCACTTAAGTGCTTTTTGTTTTTAAAGCCTGGCTTGCTTGTCTTTTTCCCTGCAATATTTTTTTCCCTGCTAATGTATCCCATTGTTCGGTTTGAATAATCGCAGTCTGTTTTCCCTCGTGTCGCAGCATCTCCCAGAGTCCTCCTGGGCATGTGCCAAAACTACCAGAAGTACACGCAGCCCAAGCAGGTGCGCGTCTGCGTCGGCACCTGGAACGTCAACGGGGGAAAGCAATTCCGCAGCATCGCCTTCCGCAACCAGACCCTCAACGACTGGCTCTTAGATGCCCCTAAGAAGGCGGGACTCCCTGATTTCCAGGGTGTGTGCTGCCAATCCCTACTGTGCAAACAGCATGCAGTCTTGTGTAACGTTGCGGTTTGTTTACATCTGCTGATGTTGTTTTGCTGTCTTTGTGGATGTGGCGGATCTCTTTTGACCCAATGCTTTTGACCTCCTCCCCTCTTTCCAGACAGCAAAGCTCGCCCAGTAGACATCTTTGCTATTGGGTTTGAGGAAATGGTAGAGCTGAACGCCGGCAATATCGTCAGCGCAAGGTAAACATCGGCAGCATCTCCCGCGATGTCAGTGAATCCATGACTCGGGCCGAAAAAGTGAAAGTGCAACCTTCCCTCCCCCGCAGCACGACCAATCAGAAGCTGTGGGCCGCTGAACTGCAGAAGAACATCTCCAGGGACCACAAGTACGTGCTGCTGGCCTCGGAGCAGCTCGTGGGGGTCTGCCTCTTCGTCTTCATCCGGCCCCAACACGCCCCTTTCATCCGGTAGGCACCCGCCAGTTCTCCTTTATCCCCGATATTCCCACATTGTCATGCTGTTTTTTTTTTTTACTGTTTTTGTACTGCTAGTCTTTGCTTTTCTAGTCTTCTCGTCCAACTTCAATACAGCCCCGTAGAATCATTTGCAAGCTTTAATCCAATAAAACAGTGTTCTCCATTCCGGTCCAGCTCCCAGATGGGAGGGAGCAAAAAATGTGGACTGTCTGGCAGGGAGCTCGGAGGGAGCAAAAACATGGACCGACTGTGGGTCCCCGAGGACCGGATCGGGAAACGCTGCAATAAAATACGCCGCACGTGTTTCTCTGTGCTTGACTGAGCCAAGCCCTGGGGCCTTTCAGGGATGTTGCCGTGGACACGGTAAAGACTGGAATGGGAGGAGCCACAGGGAACAAGGGGGGTGTGGCCATCCGCATGTTGTTCCATACTACCAGCATCTGCTTCATCTGCTCTCACTTCGCTGCTGGACAGTCCCAGGTCAAGGAGAGGAACGACGACTACAATGAGATCACCCGCAAGCTCAGCTTCCCCATGGTAACCATGCACTTTCAGCATCAGACATCATAACTAATAATAATATGTGACTCGGGAAATGTCGTTACCCAAAGGATGTATATGGCTTTAGTGGTTCCTCCATTGGCCTCACTGCAGCAGAAATACCACAGACCGCTGCATCAAACTGTCGTCACTGAACAGTCTGCCCACCAGAAATTATAGCCCCTGGCCGACGCATATCATTGCATTTTGCCAGTTATTTTGCATCTTTTAACCAAGCTCTTTTTGTGTGTAGCTCGCCTAATCAATTTAGTAATAAGATCTTCTGTAGCTTGTTAACCTGCCTTGTCCTACGTAGTATAACGTAACCTTTTAACATTTAGCCGTGGCTTCCTGCTGAATGTCTGTCTCTCTCGGTTGTTTTCGGGCTGTGATGTCACATCCTCCCGCCGCGCCTCTTGGTTCTGACTCACCTCCCACGTCTTGTCGTATGTTCTCCTCTCAAGGGCCGGCTGCTGTACTCCCATGACTATGTGTTCTGGTGCGGTGACTTCAACTACCGCATCAGCCTGCCCAACGAGGAGGTGAAGGAGCTCATCCGGCAGAAGCAGTGGGACGCCCTGATTGCCGGCGACCAGCTGGCGGAGCAGAAGAGCGCAGGCCACGTAAGCGAGGCCACCTTACTCCGTCACAGAGCGCGGTCGCCGCGGAAGTCCATGACCCTGATCCATCCGCGTCGCTCTCGTCGCTCCGCAGGTTTTCCGCACGTTCATCGAAGGCGACATTAATTTCCCGCCCACCTACAAGTATGACCTCTTCTCTGACGACTATGACACCAGCGAGAAGTGCCGCACGCCAGCTTGGACGGACCGTATTCTCTGGAAGAGGAGGAAGTGGAACTTTGATAAAAGTGGTGAGGGGGTGCATCCGCGTTCGCGTTCAGTGAGACACGTGTATGCTGTAACCCCCGGCAGCACAAAAGTCTGGGAGGGGTTTGGCTTTGACGCCGTATTGTATGGGTCTCCCTGTAGCAGAAGAGATGAACCTGGTGTCCACAGCTCAGGATGATGAGCACGACGTGCCGCAGTACCTCTGGACACCTGGCACCCTTCAGTACTATGGCAGAGCGGAGCTAAAGACCTCGGATCACAGGTGGCGCTTTGCTTTGGCTGTGCTGCACATGGTTATCTCTGATTGGCTGCTGATGAGTCACCATTAGGCTCACTCAGTTCCCAGGCCCACTGCTTTGTGTTACAGTGAGATCGTCCTCTACACAGAGAAGCTATTGGCTCACACTCTTGCATACTTTTTAAATGCTTGGGTACTTTTTAAAGCGAATATGTGGGGGGGGGGGGTAGAATTATTTGCAGAACAAGTACAGGTTGGAATGTTGTCAGGGCGCCAGGACACCATTTCTGTTCGCATATCCCATCATGCTCTCCTTCGAGACACATATATGCAGCTGAGAGTTAAGCTTGGGTGTCGAATGCAAGATCAGTCATTTATCTAGCGTCCCTGGAGCATTTTGGGGGAGGGGAGGTTAAGGGCCTTGCTCGAAGGCTCAACAAACATGTGACTATTCTGTTGCGGATGGGACTCAAACCAGCAACCTTCCCATCACAGGCACAGAGGTCTAACCTGCTTAGCCACACAGCGCCACCTAGGGCTGGGCTATATGGACCAAAAACCATGCCTGAATATTTTTAGGGATGTATGACATATCAGTATTTTCTATGAATTGGGCTTAATGTTTAATTTTAAATCAAAGCCGCTTGTGGATTGATTTTAGCGGTGCGTTCTGGGAGTCTACAGCTTTCACGTTGTTTATGACCAGGAAGGAATACTATTGGCTTCAATTAAAAATCTTTAATAAGGTCCTAATTTTGAATACACAATAAAGGTATATCAATAAAAAAGGGTATTATGTCATCCCATATCTGTTTGAAAGCACTGATATACCGTAAAAATTCGATATATCACAATGCCCTACCGACCCCCCCCAAAGTGCTAGCTATTTTGGTAATGCTTAGCCCCGTTCGCAGCTTGTCCTGAGACTGCTGGCCATCCTCGCTCTCCCCACCCCCACCCCAGGCCTGTGGTGGCCGTCATAGACGTGGACGTGCTGGAGGTGGACCCCGAGGCGCGGCACCAGGTATACAAGGACGTCATCGCCCAGCAGGGCCCGCCTGATGGCACCGTGCTCGTGTCCCTCTGCGGCTCTGGCGATGACAACTTCTTTGATGATGGCCTGATCGACGAGCTTCTGGACAAGTTCGCCGCCTTCGGGGAGGTCATCCTCATCAGGTGGGTCGTCCAGACAACTGTCATCCACTCTGCAGACATCAGAACTCTTTGCCTCACTTTCACAAATCTGTCGGCTCCCAAGGTTCCCTGATGTTTCACAGCGAGAGTCTTGAGCTGGAGAAGTGTAGGCTGCATGTGGTGTGTTTATTAATTAGACTCATAATTTGAAGGATGCTGGTCCTATTACTGTTACTGGCTCTGGAACCTTGAGCCAGGACATGTAGCCTGAATCTAAGTGACTTTGATAGTAGCTTCATCTTGGTGATTCCATGGTGTTGCATATGGGCATCAAATGGATTTTTTTTATGTGATACTTCTCCATCATGGTTGACTCACTCTTCCTCTGCTTAGGTTTGTGGAGGAGAAGATGTGGGTGACTTTCTTAGAAGGCTACTCCGCCCTGGCTGCTCTCTCTCTCAGTGCCTCCACGGTAAGCCTGTTCTGATGAGAGCATGGAGTGCCCTGTGAGCTAGAAAAGCCTTTTTTTTGTCCACAACAGTACTGCTCCGGTTCCCCATAGGTCCAAGGGAAGACCATAGACATTCGGCTGAAGAGCCCTGACTGGATCAAGAGCCTGGAGGAGGAGATGAGCGTCGAGAGGGTCTTTGGGGGTGTTCCCACATCTGCTAGCTCCAGCCTGCTGGCCGAGGATGCGGATACAGGTGCCGACTATGACATGGAAGGTACAGCAGAATGTATAATACTAAATGGGGCTTGTGAGATATCCCACTGAACTCTGTGGTGAGTGGGAGGGGCTTATGAGCGTTCATATGGATGTCTGTGGTGAGTGGGAGGGGCTTGTGCAACATTCCTGTGAACCTTGGTGAACGGATGAGGGTTCACATTCGCAGGTATGTGAGGGTTCATCTGTGGTGCATGGAGGGGGCTTGTGTATGTTCACCAGGATTCCTGTGGTGAATGGAAGGAACTTGAGAAACATTCCTGTGAAAGGTGTGGTGAATGGATGGGGTTTATGAGCAGCCACAGGGTCTCCTGGTGAATGGATGGGGTTTATGAGCAGCCACAGGGTCTCCTGGTGAATGGAAGGGGTTTATGAGCAGCCACAGGGTCTCCTGGTGAATGGAAGGGGTTTATGAGCAGCCACAGGGTCTCCTGGTGAATGGAAGGCCCTTGTGAGTGTTCAGCGGGATGGCTAAAAAAAAATGTCCTTTGATATCATTTAATTTAACTAGTAGGCATTTGGACATCCGTATTAATATCTTATTTAGCTCAGCTTGTAGAAGGAACATTGAATTAGTACATGTTCTGTATTAGTATTATGTATTAAATTTCAGCTAATCTAATTGAAGTGCTACTGAATTGTGCCGACAGGCGACGTGGATGAGGACAGCGCGGAGTTGGAGGAGATTCTCCCCCAGCACCTCCAGCTGAACTCCAGCTCAGGCCTGGCCACATCACCTTCCGCATCGCCCAGAAGCAGCCCCTGCCCTTCACCGACCCACGGCGAAGCGGCGCCACCATGCCGGCCCAGTCGCGCACCGCCACGCACTGCCGGCCCTCCTCCAGGTACGGCCTTCTGAGTAGGGAGGAGGAGTGCAGTGCTAGCAGCAAACTCCCCGGCAAGATCCGATTAAAGGGAATGGGTTTATCACCGGGAGGTTGCAGATTTTAATCCACTGATAAAATCTCCTGTTGTACTAACCCGGGCTGCTTAACTTGAATTGCCGAGTTGCTCTCAAAGTCAAGGTGTCCGAATGAGTAAAAGGTAAAGTTCGCCGGCTACATTACATAACGTGGATCAGAGTGTGTGCCAAGCGAATGACATTGGCAGCAGTGTACCGGCTCTCGGCTTCATCTGTTGAAACTCTTTATTCTTTGCTCTATCTTTATTTGGGAAAGGATGCTTAAGTCCAGCAGCGTGTAGGAGGGAGCTTGCAGGTAAAATAAGTGCCTTTGTGTGGAGCTGTGTCTGTCTGTGCTCTAGGTGTTCTGCTGGCTGTGATGTACTGTTTAAAAACTGATAGCCCCCCCCCCGCCTTTCGGGGGTGGGGGGGGGGGCCTCTGATGCAGTTATGGGGAGTCATGTGTGGGGGCCGCTCCCTTGACCATTTTCCCCAGGCTCTCCGGTGGATTTCCAGCCCATCGCCCCGCCGTCTCAGGGCCTGGAGCCGAAGCGACCCCCTCCCCCGCGCCCCAACGCCCCCCCTGCCCGGCCCGCTCCCCCGCAGCGACCCCCACCTCCTTCAGGTATGAGACAGCCTTGCCGTTCGGCACAAACGCCACGTTATATCCTCCTCTCGCAGATCCAGAGTCAGATGTGCAGCCATGTTATGCTGCTTGTCAGGGCTTTACGGCAGTTTGGGCCCCTGTAGTGTGTCCTTGCAGGCGTTACTGTGTAGAAGTGTACCGGACTCGTATGCTTTGGTGCCCATTGATTCGCCTGACGCTGCCGTTTCTGTTTAAAGGAGGTAGAAGCCCCACACCAGCTAGGAAAGACTTGGGAGGTAAAATGTCACATTGGAAATCGCATTCCTGTCTCGCTGTGAAGTGTCATGCTGTGTCGTCAGTCGCCCGTAGTTGCTCCTCCCCTCCCCTCCCCATCATGTCCCGCCTCCCGCCACATTCAGAGGGATCAGTCAGACCTTCGCAGCCAGTTGTCGCTCACAGGGTCGCTCGAATCCCCGGTTGTCACGGAGACAAGCCCGCTATGCGCTAACATGGCGAGATGTCGACAGACGCCAAATTGGCAGGATGGAGGTGCCGTTTCGGAGAGCCAGATATAACGGCTTGCGTGCGCAGGAGTCTGGGATGAGAATAAAATGTGACGTTTCATCTCAGGGTGAAAAGCACAGCTTGTAGGGCAGGTTTTCTCACCCGGGGTCCAGTCGGTCCCATTGAGAGAGAGCAGTTAGTTTGTGATCCTGGCATCGATACTTTTGTACAGTTACAGTGATTGTTATTGTTCCTTAGATTATTCCAAGTGTTTTTGTTTCTGTATTAGTGTCCGTCATGCCTGCTGCTTCCGCTGATGCTGTCTTTTTTTTTTTCCCTTTCTGTTCATTGATATTTAACTGTCATTTGGCTCAGTGGTTCTCAGGCTGTGGGTTACGACATAATCCCCCCCCCCCAGCCTTGGGAGAGAAAGGGGTCTCAAGTCTTGACCAGTGTTTTTTGGGGGGTCTGCAGACAAGGTTTGAGAACCACTGATTTAGCTTATCTTAGATGTGTGTGTTCTGCTTTTAAACCATATCTATGTTCTTTAACATCTTTATTCCATTGCATGAACAACTTGCTTGATCTGTGTCGTTTGTGGTTCTTTCATCACCTTCCTCATTGCATGGGTTACGTTAGCGTCTTACATGTCTATTGGAGTGGTTCACTGTCGGAGATCCTCAGAGCCCGGAAATGGCTCTGTGGACCTCTGAAGGTAAAGCTACCGGCCCGGTCACCATCTCTTTTCTGGGGGTGACTTGCAACTCATTTCTGTAACTAAGGTGTTGTCCCATTTAAACCAATCAGAATTCTTTGGTAAAAAATAATAATTCTGATTGGTTGTTTAATAGCAAGCCATAATGGTTCCACCTTATTTGACTCGTGCCTGACTTGTGCAGCATCTGATTTCCACCTTTACCAAGTAAAGTGTGGAAGGATCTAGACAGCTTTTTTTTTTTTTTCTTTTGTTTATTAAGTTTCATTAAAAGCAAGCAGCGAGGTACAGGAAGTATTTATTAGCGTATGTAAAGTCTGCCAGTGGCAGTGTTGTAGTGTCACCCCGGTGACAGCAGGATGTAATGGATGCTCTATTTTCCTTCCACTTGCTGCAAAGGACCAAAAAGTCCAGCATTACCTCGAAGTGACTTGGGTAAGTAACACTGGGCTCCATTGTGCGCTGGACCCCTTTGCTCCCTTGTTCAGGTTGTGCTGGTGTCATGGAACATGGCGGAAAGCTCATGCCCTGGCATCTCTGGCAGGACCCGACTCGTCCTCCGTAACTGGCTGCCTGTC